TAATTAAGAACAAATATTACATAAAGTGTCATTACTATCATTATTAAGTGAGTACTCTACAAGAATGCTCTAATCTGTTAAATTTTTTACTCAATCTAATTATAAGATGACAATAGTTAAGGAATGGAGAAGTTATCAACTCATACTAATCAAGAACATCCCATTTTAATAGATACTTTGCTTACATTAGCGTGGTTAAGAAACATACCTCTATATTTTTATGACTGATGTCCAAGTCAATTATAGAAAATGTCAACTTTAAGCATGTAAAACAAATTAGTTTAGGTAAATAAAACTGAAAGTCATGAGAACAATGTCATTCATGTGCAATAGAAGAACAACCATATTAGAATATTGATGAGTGATAAACATTAAAGGATCGACTCAAAGCAAAATCAATTGAGTTCCAATAAGTGTGAAAAAATAATGGTGCCATAGATGAGAGGTTGACATAAACCATAATTTGTTTTGTTTAATTTATAAACATGGTGATGGTGATGGAGATGGTGATTATGATGACAGAAATATTAGAGTTATTTTATTTGCACAGTATTAGTAAAATATTGATGAGTTTACATCTTTTTTATATAAGATTGATAAATAAGCCACTGATGAAAAAAATTTGACAAAAAAGCAGTTAAGTGAATACTGGACATTAAGTCTTAATATAATTCAATCCTTCAAATTAATGATGGCCTTGAGCACTAAGAAAGGTTTTAAATATTTGAATAGTACCATCTTATTTTTGTTCAATCTTGTAAACTCATTAGCAAGCAATCACATTAGCATTTGAGATAATGAACCCAAAGTCCAAATATTTTTATATAGGAGTGCATTGTACTCATCACTCATGTTTTTACTTAGTTTTGATCCTTGGATGTAATGGTAAAATTAGAAGGTTCAAAAGATAAAGATGGATAGGATAGAGCTAGAGACAAGACTCTCTCTCTCTCTCTCTCTCTATATATATATATATATATATTAATTAGGAATGATTAGTTTGTTTGGTGTATGGAAATTAGGCAGAGTCTTACAGAAAGGAAGATGGATTGAGAGAAGAAGTTTAGTTGTTTCGTTGGACGAGTAAAGCATCTATATATCTCAACAGTACAGGAAGATGGAATAGAATTATAAGACTTCTAGTTGGACTCTGAAAGAAACTCAACTATTGTGGCGGATATAAGTAGGTTTATTAAATAAAGTTAACTAAGGGATTTAGATAATATATAAAAATATCACCAAGTTAAGGAGTAGAGCATTGGAATATGATAAGAAATGAGTTGGGAATAAAGATTAAAGATACTGTGAAATGATACAAGGATTATTGTTGAGATTGCCGAAGTGATAAGGGTAGGATTTTCATGGTATTAGAGCATCTGTGTTTTCAAAATAAGAGTCCTAAACTCTGGTTTAAAATGAATTCGTGATTATACAGTAATATTCTTTAATGAATCGGTTCTTTAAATAAAATTTAACATGTTAAATTTGACTTTTAATATCTAAGAATATGTGTTTCAATTACTTATCTTCAAGATATTAACCAATATTGTCTTTTAGGTACCCTATATATCATGTGTCAGCAGCAAAGCGTGTTAAGGGATTAGCTGCTTCTTTCCTGACTTATCATCAGTTGTCATATCCCTCAGGAGGTATATATGCACCTCTTTTTCTTTTGTTATATGTATGTACTAAATGCAATCTAAATGTCTACTTAGCAAGAGTGTCCAAAAGAAAATAATAAGAAGATGATTCATTTGAGTATTTATTTGGAACTTTTGGTGGGGTGGAATTACATCAGGTATTCATAAATGTTTCTGTAAATGAGTACTGATGTACACCACAGCTTTTCAACATCATACATGTGATAGTATGTGATTGTGGTCGTCTGGTAGCAAATTTGTGAATGTTACTCTCTCCATACATATATATTTATGTATATATGCTGGAGACGAGGCTAACTGGGTGTTGAGCTGTGAGATTGTAATTTTGTTTTGGAAGACATTATGCATATGTATATATATGTGTGTGTGGTTATACATTTGTCTCCTGTCAATGCTGGAAGAAAGTAAAGCACTCTTATAGATACCACTTTATGAAGGGTTAGTGTAAATTGTTTGAAGAGAACGTTAACTAATTAAACTCGTTGACATTGTACCATGTATGCATGCAATTGTACATACATATATGTAGTTTTGGAATCTTTTGTGGATTTACATATAAATATACATATTATTATGAGCAGATATGCACAGTAACAATATGCATGTATACAACTCTGGATATATATTTGTGGTTTTGAGATGGTTTGTAGATTTACATACAGATACACATGTTGTTGTGAGTATATATATACAGTAAAAATATGTATGTATGCAATTGTGGATAAATATTTGTAGTTTTGAGATGGTTTGTAGATTTACATGTAAATATTACATGTTATTATGAACATATATATACAGTAACGATATGCATGTATATAACTGTAGATACATATTTGTGATTTTAAAATAATTTCTTGATTTACATACAAATATAAATATTATTGTGAGCTTATATACACAGTAATAATATACATGTATGCAACTGTAGATATCTATTCATGTCATTGTGAGCATACATATGCAGTAATAATATGCATAAGTAGTGGATACATATTTGTAGTTTTGAAATGGTTCGTAAATTTACATATAGATATAAATGTTATTGTAAGCATATATACACAGTAATAATATGCATGTATGCAACTGTGGATATATATTACGTTTTGAGATTGGTTTCAGATTTACATATAGATATATATGTCTCTGTGAACATATATACACAGTAATAATATGCTTGTATGCAACAGTGGATACATATTTATGGTTTTGAGATAGTTTGTAGATTTACGTATAGATATACATATTATTAGGAGCATATATACATAGTCATAAGATGCATGTATGCAACAATGAATACATATTTGTGGTTTTGAGAGTATTTGTAGATTTACATATAGATATACATGTTATTATGAGCACATAGACAGTGACAATATGCATGATGCATGCAACTGTGAATACATATTTGTGATTTTGAGATTATTTGTAGATCTATATATAGATATACATGCTATTGTGAGCGTATATAATTAAGTATTAATGTTAAAAATAACAATTTGCAAATTATACAAACTCCTAGTTAATGTTATATATATATATATGCATTTTGGTTTTTTTTCTTTTGTAGGTGTTTATTGCTCATGAGTTAGATTTCAATATCGAGTGTTTTGCATTTTCTTAAATGGTTATAATTTATGAATTAAAATTAATTATCATTTATATATTTAAAATTTTAAAATTTTAGTGTCTATATATATTCGTATATTTGAAGGTTTTTTTGCAACAACACAAACAAAAAATTTGAGTTTTTATATTAGTCTATCTTTCTTCTTCTTCCTATTTTCAACAAGATATTAAGTTAGTTTATCTCTTAAAATTTTCCCCATAACTAAAAGCTATATTATGATACCAGGAGCTGCGGAAAGGGAAGAGAATGTTGAGAAGATTAGAGGTAAAAGTAAGAAAGATAATGAAATTGCACTGCCTCCATTTGCAATGTCTACTTACAAGCTGGGTGGACCGCTGTGGCTTAAACCAGAGGTAAAAGACCAAGAGAAGCGCCTAGCCTATGAAGCCACTGCTTTTAGCTGGCTCGGTCAGCTCAACTTCAAGCACAATGATTTCAACTTCTTCGTGTCTCGTAGGTTCTGATTGATCATCACCCTCAATAATCAAAGGTTCTTATCAGTTTCATCAGTAGGACTTCCGTCATATTTAAAATCAATTGTATATGATGTAGTGATGATCAGCCCTATATTTATAGAATGTATATAGTATTGCAGGTACTACCTTCATGGTGAGCCTTTTGGCTGTTTACTGCAAGTAGGGTATGATCTTTTTTCTGGGCTTATCCTTAATAACTTGATGTTGTTAGCAGACATATATAATTATGTTGTGGGAGACTGAGAACTGATTTATATTCATCTAAAAGACATGTTATATATGAAGTATTGTGTTTGACTAGTTAAAGGTGATGATAGGATGAGATGAATGATGGCCATGATTAATTGATGATTGATGATGCTTTTCTCACAGAAAAACAAAGAATGCCATTCATGTATGTATGCATATATGTATGCATGTAAGGATTAACATCTCTTTTTGTTTGGTTCCAGCTTGTGGGTCAGCTTATTGGTTTGACAGAAAAGGAGCAGGTAATTAATTTAGAACAGAAAGTTATAAAATAATGAAGTTTTAGAATAATTTTACATTGAGATTTTATAATTTTATAAAAAAATATTATTAAGATAAATGATTATGAATTTTATCAATTTACCATGATATATATTTAATTTATATATACATAAAATACATAAATTTTTTAAATAAATTTAATAAAGATGGTTATGATAATCATTTTGTATTAATTACAAATTTATTTCAACCTTTACTACTATCTAACCAAATATCATAATGAATCACAAGCCATTGGCTTAATGGTTATTAAACGAAAAATTA